GACTATAGGAGCCACAGGAAATGTAACTTTTCCTCTATCTCACACCTTTGGCGTATCCCTAACCCTCATGTTACAATTCCTCAACTGTGTACAATTGCTTTGCATTCTGCAGCTAGGGAGAAAGTGATAGCAAATACTTCTGGGAGAGATAGACTCTAACATATGAATAAGAGATCTGGTTTTACAAAAAAGTTTTTATATGCTAAGCCTCAGTTTCTTCACCTGTAAAATGAAGATAACAATATTACATGTCCTACAGAGATGTCCTACGGATCACTCTTCAGGAAATCTTCACCATTCACCCTATTTAAAAGAGCCACACTCCCCTCCTGGACCCTCACCAATACTACCTAGCACCCTTCCTCCCTTGGTTTTTCTACAAAGCATGTACCATCTTCTCCCTATCCAATATTTTACTTTTAAAATTCTCTTTATCTCCCTCAGGAATGTAAATTCCATGAGGGTAGGGATTTTTGTCTGTTTTATTCTGTATCCCCAGCACTGGGAGCATTTTCTAACATATTATAGTCCTCAGGAAATATTTATTGGATGAATGATTTCTGTAAAGTGCTCAGCAAAATGGTTACACATGCCAAGTGTGTAATACATGTTGGTTATGATTATTTGCATTATTCCATGCTGCAAGGTTCTAAGAGTAAAGAATGAAGAAGTTCCTGAGAGGAGAGAAAGGGAAGCAGACAAGAGAGAATTAGTGAGGACCCCGGAACACAACAACACGTGTAGCATCATGTTGCTGTTGTGGGTTGGGCCTATGGATGTGGGTGTGTGAATAACTCTATGCCAGGCCCCCTAAATAACTTGCAGTACCACCATATAATGATGGTTCATCATGTCTCCATCAGAGAGCCCTTCAAACAATGCTATGTGCATGTTAGCCAACTGGTACACCTCTTTTTGATTCTTAGAGCAGAATCTGGTGTGGGCCAATTGTACTTTCCATAGTCATTCTAATCACAAGCATTAAAAACTTTCAGTATTTCATTTGATGCTTAAAAGGAAATACGAAGAATTGCCCAAAACCAGCTCCAGTTAGCCGTCCTACAATAGCACCAGCAGGAGGGTGCCGGGCTATATATAGAACCAAAGCAGAAGCTCCGAGGAGCATCAGAGCAAAAGGCTGGAAGTGCTAGAGGAGGCAGAACTGAGCTGTTTCAGGCAGCAAAGAAAAAAATCATCCTAAATACATAGTAAGCTATCAGGGCATCCTGACAAGGTGTGTTCCTGCTATATGAGCTCACAGGCCATATATAGCCCAAATCAATCAACAGTCTGCCTTCCATCTTGATAGGAAGTTGGTTCTTTCAAAATGTACTTGCATTACCTCACTTCCTACAACACACACACACACACGCACACACACACATCCTTGTATTTCAAGCTCAGTTTTCTTATTGAAATGCTCTGCTGACCCTCAAAAGAGAAAGGAGGAATTCTTCAAAGTCGTGATGAAGGTGTCATTGTCTTGATGCTTTGAAAGGACTAGTGTGAAATTATCTGTTTGGTTTCTTCATCTCAGCTCTTTCTTTCCTCACATGGAGGTACACTCAAGCTCCACACAGGGAGGCCAGGAGCTGAGCTAGTTGTGGGCAGTCTGAAGTCCAGTGGCTTTCTCAAGGGAGAAGAGAAGTCTTATGAGACAGCTATAGGCAAGTGATTCAAGGGGCACAGTTACACATCGAGCGCCTTTGTGTGAACTGTAAAAAGTTGCCTCTTCTAAGCCCGTGGATTGGAAAAGTTTTCATTCCTCAAGGCTGAAGCATCCCTGAGCCTGGTGAGAGAAGCAGGGCTATATTTTAGCCACTCCTAATCCCCTCCCCTTGTTTGGACCTCTCTGTGTGGGACGGAAACTGCCTAATTGTACTTGGTGACTGGCTATGTGAGAGGGGGTATTGCAGGGCTAGACATACATGAAGAACAAAATGCCTGACTCCTACTGTATACACCCCACAGATGAGACCTTTTTCCTTTGCAGCCAGAGTTTAGCCTGTTCTTGGATCTACTCTAGAAGATGCTGAACTCCTATTCTTTCTCATGCATGCTGCCCCCTAGCCACTAGCCAGCTCCTCTCGAGGCCTGTAATGGTATCAATACTCAAACTAGATGGAACTAGGAAGAATGTCCTTTGTGGGTTTAAAGGTTGAACAAGTAACTTAAAGTTTATTTGGAAAGGGACAATGTGGTGTTATGGAAAGGCCACAAGATATGGAATCAGCTGACCTGGAATGGTGGCTTGATAAGGGTTAACTTGGTGAGGCTGAACTACATTTCCCAGAACTCCCTTCCCTGCATGTTTTCCATTAGAGTGGCCACAAGAGATGTTCTTGGGTGAAATTTGAAGGGGAGCAGTGAAGCAATAACTATTTCATAGGTTGCACATGTTGTCACTAATCTGTGACTGATCTCACTGGTTCCCCCAAACAAGTGTCTTTTATTGCTGGTCCTGCCTTCCCAGAGCACTCCATTGCAAGAGCAATTGCTGGTGCAGACCTACCTCTCCCACCCCATTCCAAACTTCCTAGTTAAAATTACACTTGCATTTTTCTCTGACAGCGAAATAAACCAAGCCTGATCCTGTCAACTGACCTCCATCCCCTCCCAGATGAAATAACAGCATTTTCTCAGGGTTTTTGAGAGATGGGGCTTTTACACAAAGAAAGGATGTGAGTAGAGTTTGTAGACACCAGACCAGCTGGTGGAGGAGGTATTTTGGGGTGGTTTCCTTCAAATCACGACATGACTGACACCATATGCTCTATCTGGATTCACAATCAAGGTGATTACTTATGACCTTACTAGCAGAGAGTATAAATACCTCAAAGAAGGCCTCCACTGTTTAAATTATTTCCAGCCTTAGGGACTTGCTGGAATATGGGGTATTCAGACAAGGAGGCCTTTTACCACTCCCTCAGCTCTGTCTGCACCCTCTGCACCCAATGGCCATGAATACACCCTTCCTAAGATCACTTTCTCCCTTTCATCCTGCTCTGTTATCATCCTGCCTTCCATATATCTTGTCAAAAGTGAACAAAGGGTATGAGCTACCCTGGGATGGCTTGACACAGAAAAGATGTCCTATCAAAATCCCAGAATGTCACGATGAACTAGTTTAGAAACAGTATGATGCACTGCATTGGCTTTTCCAAAGTCAGTCTTGGCGGAAAAAATATTGAACTTTTGACTCATTCACTGACAACGTGGGAAATTAAATGGGGGAAGAAAAAAAAGAGAAAAAGGAAGGAAGCAATAAATGTCTTCCTTTTTGCCCATAGGTATCTGATTCAGGGCAGCTCAAGAATCTTGGACTACAGTCAGCCACAGTCATGGGGGATTCCCCAAGTGAAGAGGCTAACCGCTGGCAAAACAAAAAGTAGATTTGGTCCACTGCATTCCTACCCTAATGGATGCTGAGAAATAGACACTCTATAACCACCCACAAATTTCCTGGTACTGCTGCTATCATTGCAAAATGCTGGCTCTTTCAAAGTATCATCTCTTGCCCCTGCCAGAGAAAGCCAGCCTTTAAAAGAAACTAAATCCAAGGTCACTTATTTCCACATAAAGAGACTATTTCGTCAGCTGCCAAATTCATTTTTCTAATGTACTCTTACCCAATAACTTAAGCCTGGTGTGCTGGGCAGAGTCCAACTTGGGTAATTCCATTCTCCCAACCAAATTCTCCCAAGGAGTTTGAACTGGACATGACATTATTCTTCACTTCTTCAGCTATTCTATTATTAATCCAAATAATGCTTTTTATCCCCAAAGCATAATGGAGATGTGAGGATAGAATTTCTTAGAATTTAGTGATGAGAGATTCCATTATATAAATTTAGTAAAGTTCTTTGGAAGTCAAGTCTAGATTCGTTTATTCAATGAATAGTTATTAAAGTATATGCCAAGTTCTATTCTCAACACTGCAGATGTAGCAGGACACAGAGAAGGTTTTTGCCTTCAAAATGTAACTATTGGAGAGAGGGGAAGGAATCAGACTATTTAAGTCATGATACAGAGTTTGGATATTATTATACGTGCAGTTGAAGAGTATTAGTGGAAGGATATGATCAGATTTGGGGTTTTTTTATAGGATCTCTATGAAGAGGAAAATCCACTATACAGAATATGTATGGGCCAGAGTCCTAGCCTTCTGCTACTTTCCACTGGAATTGAATCATTCCAGGATCAACAAAACTGTGCCTATAATTTCCTCCCAACAATCCTTTGAACAGCATTGACTCTTGGTTAGCTCAAAGGGTCAAGGAGGCCAAAGCCATGGTTTGATCATGTGGCCATCAGTACTGTTCCATGACAAATCCTACCCCACTTCTGTTCTAGCTGGCTGTACTTCGTAGGCTCCCGTTGGTCATAGAGGACACCAGACAAGAAGGTAAATGAGGAAGAATTAGCTCATCTCCACTGCTCCAAGAGCTGCCTATGATCTGCTGAAGGTAGTTCAGTGGCAAAATCAAGGAGCAAAAGTATCTCTACATATATGTGACTTAACTGAATGGTGGTGTTCTTGGAAGAGCGTTACTATTGACAAAGAATCACTGAAAACTTTCTAGGTATTACCCTTTCTGTGAACAGTGACAAATATAAATAAGAAAGTCACAGAATCTGAAAATAAGGGGCGCCTGAGTGGTGCAGTCAGTTAAGCATCCGACTCTTCATTTGGGCTCAAGTCATGGTCTCAGGGTCATGAGATCAAGCCCTCTGTCAGGCTCTGAGCTCAGGGGGAGTCTGCTTCTCTCCCTCTCCCTCTATGTCCCACTCTCTCTCTCTCTCTCTAAAATAAATAAATGGGTCTTTAAAAAAAAGGAATCTGAAAATAAAGGGGGACATTAGTGGTCATGAAGTACAAGCTCCCACCTAATGTAAGATACTTCTGTGCAGTGCTGATAAGGAGTCTTCTGTGTTCTATACACCTCCTATGTCAGATGGGGCCAAATGAATAGCAATTTAATTGCAAATTGTTCTTTTAGCTAGGAAAGATCACCGACTGTGGTACCTATTGCCCAAAGTTGTGGTCTGAAAGATCAAAGGACAGATAAAGTCACATCTTAAAGAGGGGCCAACATTAAGACCCGGAAAAAGAGGACCAAATAACTTTGTCATTCGCAGAAGCAAAAGAAGAATAAAGGATACTGAGCCATACAAGAAGATACCCAGGATGCTGATGGATGAGGAATATAGAGTAGGTGGATTGGAGGTAAGTCTGAAGAAATTCCTACGGGTGTGTACATGTTCTCATGATGGAATTTTTAATACAATTCTCACACCAATATGTATGATTGTACCGAGTACTTTTGGAGGGGCTGGAAGGGAATTTATATCCTGCTTCCCCTAAATGGTCACTGCTTCACATGGAAATCCATTGCATCATTAGGAAGTACCAGTGTTCATAATATTCTCTGTATCCTCTTTCTTCTGGCCATAGGTCTGTTCTTGTATGACATACAGAACAAATCTAATTCCTTTTCCTCATGACAATCCTTCAGATAATTAAAAAGTTTTCATGTCCCCTTTCAGTATTTCCTGCTGTAGGCCACACATCCCTAGATTCCTTCGACTCAGATAGCGTAATTTCATAGGTGCCAAACTTTCAAATTGACAAGGACTTCAGAAACGCAAGTCCAGATCTCCTTCTTTACCCAGGAGGAAGATGAGGTTTAGGGGGTTGAAGTGTAGCTGGGTAGGGAATGGATTCTGCTCGGCATCACCTGGAAGTGGCAGATCCAGAACTTAAACCTCTTAATTCCCAGTCCAGTGTTTTCCCCATATCTTTCAACAACCCTTCCTAGCCCACTTATATTCCTCTGGATTCATTCCAGATTCCTAGATTTCTTCTTTAAATGTAGCCCCTGATGTTAAACCCACTTGCAAGTGTGTTCCAACCAGCCAAGAGAATAAGGCAATTGTTATCTACTTTAGAGTGAACTCTATACATCCATTAAGGCTGCTATGATTACTTTAGGTTTCTTTGGCAGACCCTGATGATTCATATTGCATATGTAGTTAATTAAAACCATTTGTATGTTTCTCTTTAACTTGAAATGCGTCAAGCAAGATACTTTTCACCTTGTACTAGAATGGTTCATTTTTAATTTAACTTAGGTATAGGATTATATATTGAATCCTCTTAAATATCTCTTTGTTAGTTTAGATATATTCTTTTACCTGGTTGAAGTATTTTTGAATGCTAATTCTCCTATCAGGCATATTAACTAACCACCCACATTTTATGACATACATAGACTCAACAAGCACACTTTAGCAAAGACAGTTCTTACCAAATATGCCATGCCTTACCCTACTTTTCCTAGACTCTGTTGTAATTGGGTTGGAGCCATGTGACTACCTCTGGCCAATAGATTATAAATGAAGGTGATGTCACTTCTGGGCCAAGTCATTAAAGAGCCAGTGTGATTCTTCTCTTCTTCTATTCAACTGATTTCGAGATCTTGCAGGCCACGTGGTCTGAATGCCATGACTTCAGAGGAGTTTACGTGAGCCCATGGCAATCCATTAAAGACCTTTAACAGTATTCCATTAAAGACTCTACCTCCAGCTACCAACTCAGTTTATTGCCCAAAGACATCATAAAAGACTGAATTAAATACCTTGTTAAAATTCAAATATATGAAGTCCCAAGGAGCATGGTAATCCATTGTAGGATTTTAAGCATGGGTGTGATATACTCAGATTTGAATTTAAGAGATGCATGGGAGTGGGGCATGATTGGAAGGTGCTAGGACTAGAAGGAGAGGCAGCTAAGAGGTTGACTTCTGAACATCTGGAAGGGGAATGTGATGAGTGGGGCCAATATGATCTTACTAAGAACAAAATTTTGTCAATTACTTCATTTCCACTCTTGCCAGTATTGTAGCAGAGAAATAACCAAGTCCACAATCCTGAGCCTGGCTCCGGCCTGCTGCTCAGCTGGTCCTGCTCCATTCTCCTTCTCACTTCCAGCCATTTGTACACGTTTCCATTTACTTCGATGCCTTGAGGATTCCCTCTGATGCTGGGCTTTTGCATGAGTCCTTCCTTCTGTTTAGAATGCTTTCTTACCCTGTCCCCCTCCACCTTAACTCCTCAAACTTCAAATTTCAAGTTTCTCAGGGAGGTTTCTGACCCCCACTAAACTAAGTCAGATCTCTTTGTTTAGACCATTTGCCCCATACCCTTCCCTTTTCAGAACATTCAGTACCCCTGAAATCACTTCTTACAAGATCACCTGTTCTCTCCTTGAGACTAAAGGTTCTTTGAGGGCAAAGGCTGTTACCACTGAGAATTTAGACAGTGCTCAGTAGGTATTAAAATAATATTTGTTGAATGGGATTATCTAATACTTTGTTCTGGAAATGTGCCAGAAATCAATGCTAAACTAAATGGATTGTAAATTTTAAAATCTCCTCTTCTTATCCTCTGTCCTTCTCCAGATTCGAGGTATTTGCTCTTTCTTGCAGGACTCCTCAGGGATGACCAAGAGTGATTCTTTCAGGTCCTGGGGTTGTCATTGCTTTGGTGCAGGGATCTATGAACTACAGCCCAGCCCAGATCTGGCTGGCTGCCTGTTTCATAAATAAAATTTCATTAGAACAGAGGTACACCTGTTTGTTTCTAAATCACCAACGACTACTTTCACATTACAAAAGCAGAGTCGAGTAGTTGCAACCAAAACCATGTGGCCCACAAAGTCTGAAATATCACCTTTACAGAAAAAATTTACCAACTGCTAGTCTAGTATAAATAGTTTAACTCATTGAAGACAGCTAGGTGATTTTTTTTCTGTCATCTCATCTATATTTGGCTTCTTTTCCTTTTTTCCCTATCTTTGATCTGCCTTTACAATTTGAAATTTATTCTTTCTATTAAAGAATCCATAACAAAATGGACAGATGCCTACTGTCATCTGCTGATATACTTTCTGCTCCATATAGTGTCTCTTCCACATTTATCTTTTTATAATAAAAATCATTTATTAAAAACAAAAATCAATATTTCTTTCTTTCTTTAGTTATTCAAATCACATTTACTTATCTTTTCCAGTTTTATTGAGGTATATTTGTGGGGAGCGTTGTTTTTTTGTTTTTTGTTTTTTAAGATTTTATTTATTTATTTATTTTTAAAGATTTTATTTATTTTTTTGACAGAGAGAGAGATAGTGAGAGCAGGAACACAAGCAGGGGGAGTGGGAGAGGGAGAAGCAGGCTTCCCGCTGAGCAGGGAGCCCGATGCAGGGCTCGATCCCAGGATCCCGGGATCATGACCTGAGACGAAGGCAGACGCTTAACGACTGAGCCACCCAGGTGCCCCAAGATTTTTTTATTTATTTGACAGAGAGAGACACAGCAAGAGAGGGAACACAAGCAGGGGGAGCGGGAGAGGGAGAAGCAGGCTTCCTGCTGCACAGGGAGCCCAATGCGGGGCGCTATCCCAGGACCCTGGGATCATGACCAGAGCCGAAGGCAGACACTCAATGACTGAGTCACCCAGGCACCCCTATTTGTGGGCTTTTTAACGATTTTATTTACTGTGGCACCTGGGTGGCTGAGTTGGTTAAGTGTCTGACTCTTGATCTCAGCTCAGGTCATGATGTCAGAGTTGTGAGATCCAGCCACACATTGGGTTATTGGGTTCTGCGCTCAGTGCAGAATCTACTTGTCCCTCTCCCTCTGCTCCTCTCCCCACTTACGTGCTCTCTCTAGTACATATTTATTTATTTTTAGAGAGAGAGATAGAATGTGCACGAACGGGGAGAGGGGCAATGGGCGGGGGAAAGAATCTCAAGCAGACTCCACGCTGAGCCCAACACGGGGCTCGATCTCATGACCCCAAGATCATGACCTGAGCCGAAACCAAGAGTCAGACGCTCAACTGACTGAGCCCCCCAGGTGCCCCTTATTGAGGTATATTTGACATATAACCTTGTATAATAAGTTTAAGGTATATAACACAACAATTTCATATATGTGTATACTGCAAAATGATCACTTCAGTAAGCTTAGTTAACATCCATCACCTCTTCCACATGTGTTCTCCTTGCTCTACACATGTATAACAAAGCTCATTTTATTGCCCTCAGAATTTTTATAAGATGCGTTTCACTCTTAGCTTCCTTGTACAGGTTATTGTGCTTTTCTGTACTCCTTCCACCAACAGTTCTTCCAACACCAGGGACTCTTCACAGTAAGAACTCACCAAAGAACTCTCTTTGCAGGCACAATAATTCCTTCAGGATCACTTTCACTTGTGTTATCAGAATTTTATTTTTTAGAGTTACTTATGTCTCATGGTGGATCTTTCGATTATACCTGTGAATTTTTCTTTTTCTTTTCCAGAAATTTCCAAATGTTATCTTTTTTAAAAAAGATCTGTTTATTTATTTTAGAGAGAAAACGTGTGTGCATGTGTGCTTGTGGGTGGGGGGAGGGGCAGAGGAAGCCAAAGAGAGAGAATTCAAGCAGATTCCCCACTGAGCATGGAGCCAGATGCAGGGCTCGATCCCAGGTCCCCAAGATCATGACCTGAGCCAAAAACAAGAGTCAGAGGCCTAACCAACTGAGCCACCCAGGTGTCCCTCTCAAACTTAAGAGTTTTGAGAGCGTGTCAGAAGCAGCTCTCAAATTTTGGACTCTTATAAGAACCTACTACCTTTCTACGGTTCCCCAACCAATTCTCCCACTTGGTCAGTGTTATGGGTTGAAATATGTCCCCCCAAAGAGATATGTTGAAGCCGTAGTCCCCAGTACCTCAGAATGTAACCTTTTTTGGAAATGGGGTATTTATAGAGGTAATCAAGTTAAAAGAAGATCATAATCCAATAATAATGACACTTTTATCTCCAACAAAGAGGAGAAATTTGGACACAGAGACAGACACACCATAGGAAGAATGCCATATGAACATGAGAGCAGAGATGGGGTGAGCCTCTGCAAGACAATGAACAGCAAAGATTGGAAGCAAACCCCCAGAAGCTAGAGAGAGCATAGAACAGATTCTTCCTCCCAGGCTTCAGAAGGACGCAATCTTGCTGACACCTTGATCTTGGACTTCCAGCCTCTGGAACTGTGAGACAACATGTTTCTGTTGTGTAAGTCACCCAATTTTGTGATACTTTGTTACAGCTGCCCTAGCAAATGAATATGGGCAGAATTAGGCCACAGATGGGAGAGATTGCCTGCTGATTCCAATGTGAACTCTACCTCATTTTCCTGGTTCTGCCTGCTCTAGTTCATCCTGTCAGAGCCCATTGTTACCCCACTAAAGATTCTCAGACTTGAGACCTCATCTCCAGATGTTTTGTTTTGGTAACTGTAAGGTGGAGCCTAGGAATCTCATTTTTATTAAGCCCTAGAGGCAATTCTGAGCTATAAGAATAGGAAGAACTTAACAGACTTTGTGTAGTTGAGTCTCCTTTCTGGCCCCATGGCCTTAGCATATCTGAAAACGGATGGATCCGCTTCTGCTGCTGAGCTCAGCCAGGATCCAATGGTCCCAGTGGCAACCAGTGGGATCCTGTGCTGCCTGGTATTCCTCCTCAGGTGCCCAGGCTCAGAACCAGGCCTAAGCTGGGGGCCTGCTATTCCCTCATTCCCTTGTTAGCCCTCCCCCTGAGAAGAGCCCTGACCCTAAACCCCAGACTGGTGGCTAGGCCACTAAACTCTGAGGACAGATCTCCCAAATGACTGACTGCTCACTCTCCTGCTTCTTGAGCACCTCCTACCCTCAGGTTCCAACCATGCTCTGGTCATTTTGGAGAAATCATGTACCCAACATGGGAAACACTCTCAGTAACTGCTACCTGACTTAAGAAGGGCCCTTCCCTACCCTCTAGACACTGGATGTACCAACCTGGCTACAGCTCCATAACCAAGCTCAGCAACGATTTGGTTGGCTCAGTGTGCTAGATCTTGTACTATACACATCCCTTCTGTCTTCCATGTTAGGCTTACAATCGAATGAGGAATACAAAAAGGTACATGGATGCACATTATCTATGAGTACACGGCCCTAAGGGCAAAGAGGTGGAGCACCTGACCAGGGTCTGGAGGGTTTGGAGGTAGGGAAAGCAGCTTGAAGAAGTTCCCATTTAAAACCAAGACCAGGGATGCCTGGGTGGCTCAGTCGGTTAAGTGTCTGCCTTCGGCTCAGGTCATGATCCCAGGGTCCTAGGATTGAGCCCTGTGTCGGGCTCTCTGCTCAGTGGGAAGCCTGCTTCCCCCTCTCCCTCTGCCTGCTGAGAGCTTGTGCACTCTCTATCTCTCTGTCAAATAAACAAATAAAACCTTTAAAAAATTTTTAAAAAATAAAACCAAGACCAAATAAATAAATAAAATTCTTATATAATATACCTATTTATTATTAATTTGTATGTTATATATAATATATTGATATTATTATATAATAACACAATGTTAGTATATAAATGTACAAAAACATTTTATTAACATATATTAATGTAAAGAATATAATATATTTTCAATATATCATTTATTATAATTAATAATTATTAATGTTAATGGGTTTGGGAAGAGGGAGACATCTTCAGGCTCAAGAGCCAGAGAGAGCATGATGGTTTCTGGTAAGAGCAAGTAGCTGGAGGCGTGGGCAGGAGGCAAGGGTTTCCCAGCCCCATGGTGTCCCGCAGGAGATCTTTTCTGGAAGAGACGTAAAACCGACAGATCACTCACATCAGTCATATTTGAGAACACGTCCCCTGTCCAGCAAAGCATCCCAACACCTGCATGAGGGGAAAGTGGGTGGATGCACTTGAACTGACCCTCAGCCCTCATTCAGTCTCTGGCTTTCCTCTTGTCAGTTCTCTTCATCTTCTCGATTTAATTTCTCTTCCACGCGACTCAACCAGCCTCAAAAGCCACAAAAATAATCTGTTATTGTTATAGGCTGCAGTTTTTTTCGAGACTTTAGCAGGCAACCTCTTCAACCTGATATAGCTAAAATCTTAGGGATAGCCACCTTAGCCACAGCCCTGCACCACCTTTCCTCCATCCCTAACCATTCAGAATGGTCCTTACAGGCAGCCTGCAAGGAAATGAATTCCTGCTTGGAATTAAATAACAAGAAATTTCTAGCAATCTAGATTTGACACTCACCGCTCAAGAACTTGAGGCACTGGACATAAGACTGGGTGTGAAAGACCCTCCCTCCCTCAGTCCCAGGTATTTGAACTTGCCTGTGATATAAGTCTTAACTGGGACAGCTTGGGACAAAAGCTCTCTTGAACCGTGGGTTATACCTTCCCATTTAAAGGACTATTGATCAGCACAACATGGCAACTAATATGAAAAGCGAATGGTAAAAAGGAAAGGCAATCATTTCCTCACTAAACGAAAGAAGAGATATGAATCTGAGGAGCCCAATCTGGCACTGATTGAAAGTAAATTACCAGCTGATTAGATGGCTGTAAATACAGGGAGAGAAGCCTCAGCAGGCAGCTGGATTGCATAAGGAAGAGGGAAATTAGAGAGCTCACGGGAGGTGCTGAGCACAGACAGGGCTCGGCGAAGAGGAACAGTGGCAGCTCTGTACTGCCAAGATTATAGAAGCAGGAAGGGACCAGTAGGAAGTGTTCTGTAGATGGACTCAGCGTGAAAGCGTAGCCCCCCACCTCCCACTCCAATCCCCCCAGCCCCACATCCCTAATGAGCCCGAAGGACGGGTGTTTGTTATTGCAACACAGGAAGTATCAATGACTTCTGTTCAGCGAGGAAAACCTGTTTTAGGTTATGTGCAATCTGGAAGCTTCTCACTTCCTACCATAAAAGCCACTCTCATAAAAACCACTCACATCCTTGCAGTCTACAGAGACAGAGTCCACGCAGATGTCAATGAGAGATACCATCCCCCAAATAGCAGCTGGGCCTGTTTCTGCAGACAGCAAGCAGTGAAAGAAGCGAGACCCTGTGAACTCAGAGCTCTCTGCAATTAGTAGAAGGAGCTTGCCACAAGGAAGGACCGAGTAGTGTAACTAGGAAACTAGGGCTCTCCTGTGCATACCAAAAAAGATCCCCTCTTCCTCTGGCAAATCTTGGGAGAGAGCCGGGCCAGCCTGGGAGGAGGTAATTGGGGCAGAAATGGTGGGGGAGGAGGATGGCTGTAATTTGTGCATTAGTGATGGAAGTGAGTTTAGCAAAGGACAGACAGTGGATGCCTTAGTCACATGAGTATTACTGTTTCCATAGCCCTGAGCCCTGCCCTACAAGCTTCTCTAATCCCTAAGCAAGGCAGCTGTATGCTCTCATTGTCCAAGGAGAGAATACAGAAAGAATATATAGCTGCTGGGTTAGCTCAGCAACACTCCACCCTCATTTTCTTCACGGTCCAGCCCACAGGCCCTAGAGATGCTCTCACAGGAAGGAATGACTGGCGGACATGGGACCAGATGACCACATCAGTTACAGTTTACATTTAGAAGGAACCATTCCAATGTCACATGGCAGAAGACGTAAGAGGATGGGTAAGTAATACAGAAAGAAAACTGGGGGAAGGAGTTGAGAAAGAGGTTATTGAGCTTGGGTAAAGTCATTTCTTTAGCCAGATCTGATGAAGGGTGTTACTAATTCCCTAAAATCAGATATTTGAACTGACAACACACTGGACACTTCTTGAAGCTTATTGTGTGGCTACCACATTTGGATGTTACTGATACAATTAACTGTTTAGGTAACTGGATATAGTGCTCATTCCACATGGGGAGTTAGTCGTTCTCCACACATCTTTCGATTACCTCTACATAGTTCAGAATTAAAGAACATCTTAAAGCACTGGGGGTGCTTTAAGAAAACTGTCACTATCAAGATTATGGTGTTTTGTTTTTTCTTAAAGGTTTTATTTATTTATTTGACAGAGAGAGACACAGCAAGCAAGGGAACACAAGCAGGGGGAGTGGGAGAGGGAGAAGCAGGCCTCCCACGGAGCAGGGAGCCCGATGCGGGGCTCGATCCCAGGACCCTGGGATCATGACCTGAGCCGAAGGCAGACACTTAATGACTGAGCCACCCAGGCGCCCCAAGATTATGTTGTTCTGAGGGCAGATGCCGGGTATGTAGTCCCTTTCATCAAATGTGTCCTTGCTGGTCTCTGGATGTCACAAAAGCCGGGATGCTGCAGATCACTAAAGGGACGCACAGAGCCTACACTGGCCAAAGAAAAAATCAGAGATTCTTTGAACTAGTTTGGGGCCAACTTTGAGATGAGGACAGAAATGCAACTGGGTTCACTTCATCTGGTGTTACCATGAACGTTAACGTGCCAAATATCTGAGTCACTGACTAAAAATAAAAACAGATTGGAGAACTAAAGGGTGTGACTGGGAGGAAGAGTGATGATGAAGAAAAGGAGTTCCTCATGTTGACAGCTGCTTCCCTAACGGACAAGAAATATGAAGAACAGACACTGAAGAGCGTGAGGGTTTTTTGTTTTGGTTTTTTGGTTTTTTAAAGATTTATTTATTTATTTGAGTGTGAGAGAGAAAGAGAGCATGAGCAGGGGGAGGAGCAAAGAGAGAGAGAGAGAGAGAGAGAGAAGCAGACTCCCTACTGAGCATGGAGCCTGACGAGGGGCTCAACGAGGGGCTCAATCTCGTGACCCTGAGATCATGACCTGCACTGAAATCAAGAGTCAGACGCTTAACTAACTGCACCTCCCAGGTCCCCCTTGGTGCATGAGGTTTTAAAAGACCTTCAACAAAACCAGCCTCTTTGCGCCACCGCATCTCCCCGCCCCGGAACAATTCTCTCAAGTTCATTCAATCCTCTGTCTCTGACAAAGTCGAGGTAAGGATCGAGGGAATGAAGTAAACATTTGGTTCTCACAGACTCAAGAAGTACAACCTCCTCTTCAGCCATCTCTGTTCTGTTTTCTCAAGACAGCAGGGGAATCCCAAGGAGTTTACAGTGTGCCCTAAAGGAGCCAATTGAAAGTATTGAGTCTACTTAGTTTCCAGGAGTATAGGTTGGAACAAAGTTTATTAGTGAACCTGCAGCAACTGTAGCTGCCCAGTTTTTCCACATGGTTTCTTCTCTGTAGCTAGAAAGTATAAGTAAAAGTATATCTCAGGCAAGAAACGTTTAACAAGGTAAGACTTTAGAACTGCTTTGGTTAAACCTTGCTCTCTAAAAATTCTGCTGCAAGAAAAAGAATACAGTCCTTTCCTAAAACTGATCAGTATTCATGTAATTCCCATCGAAATCTGAACAAGTTTCTTTGCTGACCTTGACAAGTTTATTCCAAAATTTATATGGAAAGGAAAAGGCTCTCGCGTAGCCAAAACAATGTTGAAAAACAAAAAGGAAGTGGGAGAAATCCCTCTTCCCAACAGTAAGGCCTCATGTGTAACTACAGTATTAAGACAGCATGGTACTGGTGGAGGGAAGAAGCACATAGATCAGTGGAACTGAATAAAGAACCCAGATCTAGAGCCACACAAATATGCCCCCGACTAATTTTGATAAGGGAATAAAAGCAATCCAACGGAGGAGAAATAGCCTTTTCAATAAATGGTGTTGGAAAAATTGGACCCTCGGAGTGTGAGCTTTTAAAAGACCTAACGAAAAATAATACGATAAAAAGACCTAATATGAAAATTAACTCACAATGGATCATGGACTCACATGTGAGCACAGAACTCTAAAACTTGTAAAAAAGAACACAGGAGAATAGTTCTGGGACCCTAGGGCTAGGCAGAGTTCTTGGACTTGACCCTAAAAGCATGATCCATGATAGGAAAATTTTATAAATTGGACTAAACACTTTTGCTCAATGAAAGACTCTGTAAAAGGATGGAAAGACAACAGGCCAGGAGGAAAGATTTACAAATCACACAACCAACAAAGGCCTTGTGTCTAGAATATACATAAACACTCTAGAAACTCAACATTTTAAAAAAATGGATCCAAGCCATCTTTCAGCACCATGTTTCACAGCATGTATTCTTTTTTTAAAATTTTTTAAAAGATTGATTTACTTATTTTGAGAGAGAGAGAGAGCGGGACAGGGGGAGAGCAGAGTGAGAGGGAGAGAGAGAATCCCAAACAGACTCCCCCCAATGAAGGGCTCCGTCTCACCACCCTGAGATCATGACCTGAGCTGAAATCAAGAGTCAGACAGTCAACCAACTAAGCTGGACCACGTGACTTAGGATCTTGGGGGTGGGGGAGGGGTTGGTAAAATGCAAATTCCTGTGTCTCCAGAAATTCTGATTCCATAGATCTGAGTGGGGCATGAGAAATCTGCCTTTATTTCTTTGTTTGTTTATTTATTTTAGCAATTTGCTTTTAAAACAAGCTACTCAGGGTGCCTTGCTTGCTCAGCTGGTAGAGCATGTGAGTCTTGATCTCAGGGTCATGAGTTTGAGCCCCATGTTGGGGGTAGAGTTTACTTTAAAAAAAAAGAAAGAAAGAAATCTATTAAAAATTAACAATGAAAAAAATTAACAAGCTCCTCAGGAGATTTATTATTATCATTATTATAATTAAAGTTTGAGAGCTTCCACAACTATTCAATCTAGTGAACCGTGAAGGAAGAGCCGCATTAGAAAGGAAATCAGGACGGGGCCACTTGTGCCCTGAAGGGGCAAACTAGAACAGGGGCTCTTTAAAGACTAACAACAAACCAGACGTGTTATGAAGAATTTCTAAGGAGCAGCCACTCTCTAGATTTATTAGGATGTAAATGAAATGATGAAATGCCCTACCTCCCCCCCACCCCCGCCCCCGACTCAAGTATACAACTATAAGGAGAACTTGCCACATATGGAGAGATTTTGTAGAAATTCTCATAGCCATGCTGCTCGAGGGGTCTGGTGTTCACAAAGGGCTTGTGAGAGCCCAGGAAAGACCCTGTTCTCTGAGGATAAAGCATGTACTTCGGCAACTTGGGGGACAATCGTGCTCCAGCCGAACTAGTGTCTGTGGGCCTGTGGGGAACCCACAGCCAGGGGCCACAGCGAGGAGGGGGGAAGGCCTGCCTCAGGGTTCTCTAACGTCACCTTCTATCACCCTTTCCCACTCACTCACACATACGTATATACACGGGTCTAGAGATTAGGGAGCAGCTCCTTCTCACCAACCCACCAAATAGTCCGTGTTTCTGCCTTCACCGTTTTGCCTCCAGCGCATCACAGGTGGCAAAAGGAGAGCCTAAGGACAAGACAGCATAACTCAGTGCGGACCCGGGTCAAAGCCAGGCTCCGCAGAGCAGCTGGGGAGTAAGAGGGCAGTCACGTCTGTGGGAAGCGTGCCGGGAGGCCAGCCTGATAAAGGAACGAGGAAGCTGCCGGGGAAGGTGAGGCAGGGAGCTGTCAACCCATGAAAAAGTGAAGTGGCCTTTAGGAGGACCAAGGCCAGCTCACAGAGCTGCTGACCAAGAACGCACGGATCTGAGGGCAGGAATGACCCATCAGCCCGATCCTAAGACGGCCTTCGCCCTCCAAGGACACTGCTGCATGGCTTTCCAGACCCCAGTACAACCGAGGTCCCTGAGTTTTCCAGTCTTTGCTCACTTGTGTCTGTTTTATCTCCTCTCGGTCACAATTGATGGGAGCTAATTGGTGCTGAAGCAGACTCCAGTTCATTTCCATTCACCTCATTATTTGTTTGACTTCTGGGCTGAAGCCAAGCAACAAACATTAACATTCCCCCTGCAGAGCAGGCGCACACAGACACTTGGAGGCACGCTTACACGTGCCACACTCTCCCAGGCGTGCACACATATTTACACGAGCAAGCGCACACGTACTCACCCGTACACACTCGCACATAGGCGCTCACCCATGCAGATACTGCCTATATGCCTACACACACTCCTGCACACAGGCACACACAGCTGCTCCAGCTGCCGTCGGCTGTGCAAGGTCTCTGCCTTCGGTGACGGGGCATCTAGGAGAACTTCAAACCTGAGAGTTCCTGGGGTGCCTGGGTGGCTCAGATGGTTAAGCCTCTGCCTTTGGCTCAGGTCGTGATCCCAGGGTCCTCGGATCAAGTCCCATATCCGGCTCCCTGCTCAGCGGAGAGCCTGCTTCTCCCTCTGCCTCTGCACCTCCCCCTGCTCATGCTCTCTCTCTCTCTGTATCTCTGTCTCAAATGAATAAATTAAAAAAAAATCTTAAAAAAAAAAACAAACCTGAGAGTTCCTCCTCTCGCCCACCTGTTGCCCTGGCCTCCTGGACACTGACAATTGCAACCTGTAATCCATCACTATATCTTTTTTTTTTTTTATTCATTTGAGGCACAGAGATACAGAGAGAGAGAGAGCATGAGCAGGGGGAGAGGGAGAGGGAGAAGCAGGCTCCCCGCTGAGTCAGGAGCCCTATGTGGGGCTCGATCTCAGGACCCTGGTATCATGACCTGAGCTGAAGGCAGACACTTAACCATCTGAGCCACCCAGGCGCCCCCACCACTACATCTTAGGCCCTGTTTCCAGCCATTGGCAGTCGAGTGGGAGACCTTCCAACCTTCTGTCTCAACGAAAATCAACTGTTGTCAACCCAAGCTCCCATGAAGTTCCAGGGACTAGCCTGACTTGGATTTTAAACAGTCCTGCCGCCCTCCCTGCCTGTGAATCAGGCTGGGCTCCAGACGAGGCGGGGAATCCCTCTAGTGGCCAAGGCTGAAGTGACAATAGGCATGGAGGGCTCTGGGATGCCGCCGGAACCAGTCCACTCTTCCTGAAACCACAGTCCCTAAAATCTTTACAGCCTAAATCCTCCCTCTCCATCACCCCCAGATCCTTCTAGTCACCAGGTCCTATCAGTTTCCCTCCCGAACAGCTGTCCCCGTTGCCCACCCTAGTTCTGCCTTATCACCCATGCGTTGTTGGGCTGCAGTGGACCGTTGCCTGGACCTCTGTGACTGATCCATTATGGACCTCGCTGCCAAATTCATCTCCCAGGCACTCACTGTTGGTCTTCTATGTTCTCTATTTAAGACTTCCAGACTTCCCCCATGGTCTCTAGCGGTGATCCTCAAAAGGGAGACACACTGTCTCAGGACAGGTTGAGCACATTTCCACACACAGTCTAGAGATGTTGATGTTCCTCCCCACACCGTGCTCATGTTGAACCACTTCTATCGAGGCATTGTTCCTCACGCTGCCCTATCACTCAGATGTAGAGGGCCGAGGGAAAGATGGAGAACCACAAGTCCTCGGGGCAAAAGTTCAGACATCTCAGCCCCCCCACAGTCTGGCCTTGAATTTCTTTTCTAGGTTTAGTGTTACAGTATAACATCGAGGTTAAGAACAAGGATCAGACGGTCTGGCTTAGAACCCAGGTGTACAGCTTATTAGCTCTGTAATGGTATGGAAGGTTCTAGATCCTTAGTTTCTTTACAGGGTTGTTGAGATGTTAACGAGGTAGCCTGTGTGTGAGACTTAGCCCAGAGCTTGCCCCAGGGTCAATGCTCACTTAAGGACAGCTGTAATTAGTACTCCTCTGTCTATAAGCCAACTGGTTTGCTCACAGGTCAGGCACTTCCTTGCACTGTCCAACTCTGCACTTCGGCTCTTGACGCTTTATTTGCCCGGAATGTCCCCTCCCTCCTCTCTAATGTCAAGACCTCACCTGTTCTGAGGCGCCCAGCTCAAATTTCTTCACCTGCTCAGGGAACTGAGCTAATCCTGGACTTATGGATCTCACACATTATCTCTTGTGAGAGGGAACAAATACTTTGTGATAGTGTACCGTATAAACTTATGCAAGTGTGTAATAGACAAATGTGTGGGATATTTAATTGTGCAATCATTCTAAAAAATTAGATAAAGCCTTATAATGTGTTTTCCTGTGTTACTAGAATAGTTATTCAAATTGTTTTAATATTTTACTTCTCTGCATAACTAGATTATAAATGCCATGAGGATAAAAGCTCTGTTTTATATTTATATTCTCCATAGAACATGTCTTACATGATACTTTCACTATATTAGGTACTTAGTGATCATTTAATTAAGAAGTGACTGCATTTTTTATAATAGTAGTAACATACGTCCTTGTCCCTTAAAGCAATTTTCCATTCATTATCTTTTTTTTTTAAGATTTTATTTATCCATTTGACAGAGAGAGACACAGCGAGAGAGGGAACACAAGCAGGGGAAGTGGGAGAGGGAGAAGCAGGCTTCCCATGGAGCAGGGAGCCCGATTCAGGGCTCGATCCCAGGACCCTGGGATCATGACCCGAGCTGAAGGCAAACGCTTAACGACTGAGCCACCCAAGGTGCCCCTCCATTCATTATCTTATGAGCTTTGATTATCTAACTTCTACAACATCCCTGAAAGAAAAGCAAATCCTTGGCCTATTTCATAGGGAATTTCTTATTGTAAGTCTTGCAAGCAAGTTGTGTTAGTTATATGTGTTATATCACAATAACACAATCTCCAAATGGAAAGGTATCTGGGTCAAAAAGGGCAGGGTGGATAAATTTTTTAAAGTATGCCTATACCATGTTTATTTACAAATCATTTGGAATGTAGCCTATAAATTATATTCTGGAGTCTAAAAACACTTTCATTGTAAATTTCAAAAATAATTGGTATCCCATGATGAGATACCACTGCACACCCATTAGAATGGCTAAGATATATGTAAAAAAAAATTGACAAAGATGCAGAGCAACTGTGCTGGCACAGATAATAGCACAATGCTATTATCTGCCTTAGAAAACAATTTGGTAGTTTCTTAGAGAGTTAAAGAAACATGACCCATATGAACCAGCAAACACATGCCTAGGTTTTTACCCTAGAAAATTGCACACTTGTGCTCACACAAAAAACTATACACTAATGCTTATTTATATTCGGTAAAGATAAAGAACGGATTAGTAGTTTCCAGGAATTATGGGTGGGAGAGGGTTTGGCTGCACAGGCGCAGCATAAGAGAATCTGAGGTGGGGGGAAGGGATGAAAATTGTCTATATCCTGATTGTGGTAGTGGTTACACAAATCTACACATGTTAAAAGGTCATAGAACTATACCCAAAAAAGTAAAGTTCGCTGTACATAAATATAACAGTAAAACCATATTTTTAAGAAAACTCAGAAGCAAAGTTCGGAAAAAGTGAATGTTGTCAATGAATTCCATATAAAGATATCAATCACCTATTCTGTACAAGGCACTGACTGGGGTAGGAAAAAGGGAAACCAGAGCCTAGCGATAAAGCAGTTTTAGGAGCATTAGCTTTGAAAGCGGCTAGAGCTAAGATTGAACCCCTGGTCTCTTACGAAATGTGGGTTCTTAGGAAGGTCGCCTAACGTCTTTGAGCTTTAGTTTATGAAGATAATAAAACACGGAGTATAGATGCAGTAAAAGGTTGAAAAATGGTAACTATTGTTACTACCATAGAATTGCTAATGCTAAAGCTGGTGATGTCAGTAAAAATGATGTCTCTGAGGTGCCTGGTGGCTCAGTCAGTTAAGGTTCAACTCTTGGTTTTGGCTCAGTCATGATCTCAGGCTTGTGAGGTGAAACACGTCCTGCAGTGGGCTCCAGGCTCAGCGGGGAGGGTACCTCCCTCCCTCTCCCTCTGCCCCTCCCCCTGCTTGAGTGTGCGCATGCATGCTCTCTCTCTCTCAAATCAATCAATCAGTCAATCTTTTTAAAAAATGATACCCAGAATCTAACCAGTCTCACACTGCCACTGCCACTGCCACTGCCAGCGCCCTGATCCAAAAGCCACCATCACCTCCTGCGATGCTTACTAAGTGTTCTCCCTGCCCCCATCCTACAGCCTGCTCTTAACCCAGCCACCACAATGATCTCTTTAAAATGTAAGTCCGATTATGTCACTCATCTGCTCAAAACACTGTTGTGACTCCCCGGGTCACTCAGAGTAAAGGGAGAAGTCTTCCCCGTGTCTTCGAAGACCCTGCATGCTCTCACACCATTTGCCTCTCTTATATTATCTTCTATTGCTTCCCCCCTTTCTTCTTTTTTAAAAAGATTGATTTATTTGAGGGGGGGGGAGGGAGAGAAAGCGAGCAGGGGTAGGGACAGAGGGAGAGGGAGAGAGATTCTCGAGCAGACTCCCCACAGAACGGGCAGAGCCAGACCTGGGGCTCGATCCCACACTTCCATGATCACAACCTGAACCAAGACCAAGAGTCGGAGGCTCAACTAACGGAGCCACCCAGGTGCCCCCACTCTTATTCTTCCACACTGACCTGTTACCCTGACATGGCTTCTATTAGCAGCTGTTGTATTGGCTCTTTCCTCGGCCTCGAACAGTTTCCACATGTTTGCACCACTCACTCCCTTGCCTCCTTTGTGACTTGGCTCCAATGTCACCTTCTCAAAAAGGAAAAAAAAAGCCTATCCTAACTACTGTATTTAAAAGTTCAACCTGCTCCACGTTCCCCCAGCCCTAACAACCCCCCTTGTCTTGCCCAACTTTTCCTTTTCCATATGTTTTATCACCTTCTCTGTAACAAAACCAAACATTGGCAGATGGTCCGCTCATAAATTGCTGGTGGGAGTGTGACTTGGTACAACCACTTTGGAAATCTTTTAAAAGATTTCAAAATATTTAAGTATTCCAAATTTAATTAAAGATTTAAAAATCTTTAAATGTAAAGAATATCTCCTAAAGCTAAAAATATCCTATGCTGCTTCTGCATGTAAATCCAACAGAAAGGAATGCCAAAAGACACGTATTAAGAATGTTAAAAGCAGTTTTATTCATAATATCTCTGAAGTGGAAACAACCCAAATATCCACAGTAGAGTGGATAAATAAATTGTGATATTTTCAAGCAATAGAGTAATACACAGCAATAAAAAATGAATGATGATACAACAACATGAATGAATCCCAGGCCTAATATCGAGCAAGAGACAAAAGAGAATATTATATATGATTTATTTGATGCTCAAGAAAGGCAAAGACTTTGATAAAATCAAAATAGAGCTACTTATTTCCCTAATGGGAAGGTAATCTAATCTCTTTGAAAATAATGGTAATAATATCCATCTTGCAGGCTAACTGCAGGAAATGTATCTCTGACGTCTAGCACCAGATCCTGGCACAGAGTCCTGGCTAACTGAATGATAGTTTGTATTCATGTATGTTCTCCATTTGCAAGAGTTTAGTAATTGGCAAGTAAAAGATCATTTTAGGTTACCTAACACAAAAGTTTCAGTTGTATATATATACACCCTTAGTTGCCTCCCAATAGCCATTCCGTTTTTCTTCTTAATAACAGAATCTATATTTTTGTTCAGAGAAGCCATATACCCAGCCCAGAACAATGAAGCATGACTAAGCCAACCATGGAACTCCCATGCTCCTTTGCCAGACCCACTTTCTCAATTCCCCCTTACACCTAGGGATGCCCATGTGCTCAGTTTGGGCCAATGAGACCTAAAGAGGAATTTTGATGGGAAACTGTTTAGAAAAGACTTGTCCTCCTTGCTAAAAGGAAAGGTACACATTCTCTCACTGCCCCTCTCCCCCCGTTTTCTGCTTTTGGATGAATGATGTATAGAGCTATGGCAACTGCCTTTTGATCATGAAAATCAGAGAGAAAATGACAAATAGCCCCAACTTATCAGAATTAACAAATCACCTACCTTCAAAGTTTTTGTTCTAAGAATTATCTTTGTTATTTAAGCTCTATTATTAGTTGTGTATTCTGTTACTTTCAGCTGAAATCATTCCTGGGACTATTCCCTTATAGAAAAACAAGTGTGCAAAAGAGAATGCTTATGCCGATAATTGGGACACCTTACCAAGCTCTCTTTAATTTGCCCAATGTCTGAGCACAGCCCACTCCTTTCATGGTCCTTCCACGAGTCTCTTCCTTGCCACTTTACTAAAATGCCTTCACTTTCTAAGGCAAACACCTTTCAATGGCATGTGAACACACTAATGAGGTCGGTAACTTTCCTTAGGCATCGAGGCTAAGGAATGAAACTTAAAACAGGAAAATGCTATTTGATTGCTGAATTTGTTGGAGGGTAGCCAACTGCTAAATGCTGGTGGGAGCACATACTAACCTGCATTTGCCCACAAGCACCCCAGTGCACCAGCGCTGTAAATATAAATGTACCGTGAATAGGTGGCTCATTCAGGACTCATTCCTGTGTGGCAGGGCAGATTTATCTTGAAGTTCATGACATTCCATGGCCCTCATGTGCCCACACCTCTTTCAAGGCCCTGTTTGGGGCCCAAGCAACGTGTTCACATGGTAATACGCTTTTGTAAAACTTGAAAGTATATTAGCCACAATCAGATAAGACCTCTGTCTCTTTCCTCTCCAACGCACCCTCTCTTGCACTTGCCCTTCTGTAGGGTGGTGTTAGAGAGACCATGGGTTGTTTGGGATTCAGCTAAAGGGAAGTTGAGTTGAAGATCCACAGAGTTTGGGTTACGAAGGTTATATTTATGTGGTTTACTTTCACATCTAGTTAAGTTATTGCTAGCTATTCTGGTGCAGGAATGGCTTCTGGCATTATTCCCGCTGCCCACTTCGGCAATGCCAGGGGTCACATTGCAATATGAACGTGACCTATTGCACTGGGCATTGAAAGTATATAGGGATTGAAGAAGAAACAAGTTTCCAAAATAATGAAGCAAGAAGCTAGTCTGTGAAAAATTCTGCCAGCCTTCAGATATGTAAAATTATAAGGATTTGATTCTCACACATGCCCAGTCAAAACAAAAGTTCTGTCCTGCCAGGAATCTACTCAATAAGCTCTGTATACAGTTATAAGCCCACAATATTCTTTTATGTAAATCATACAAAATAGAACTTACCAGAATTCCTGTGCTTGTGGGGCATAAAGCAACACCAGTTCTATTGTCACTATGTTTGTTTAGTCATGTATTTTAAAAATCCAATATATTAGGGGTGCCTGGCTGACTTAGTCGGTAGAACATCCGACTCTTGATCTCAGGGTCAGGAGTTCAAGCCCCATGTTGGGTGTGGAACCTACTTAAAAAAATAAAAATTAAAGTTAAAAATTAAAAATTTTTTTAAAAACCCAATATATTGGATCACATCCTGAATAGGACAGCAGTTTTAAACAAAATGAGATTTAAAAAAAAAAATTATCCATCAATGGAGCACAACAAAAAAAAAAACCAAAATCACTATACATATTTATAAACAAAGCAATGTATATAGTATTAAGAATAATGTGATTACGTGGGGCACCTGAGTGGCATAGTCAGTTGTCATCCGACTCTTGGTTTTGGCTCAGGTTATGATATTGGGGTGGTAGGATTAAGCCCTGCATCGGGCTCCATGCTGAGCCCAGAGTCTGCTTGAGATTCTCTCTCTCTTTCTCCCTTTGCCCCTTTCCCGGCATGCTCTCTCTATGTCCGAAATGGATAGATAAATCATAAAAAAAAAAAAAAGAGTAGGGTGTCTCAGTCAGTTAAGTGTCTGCCTTTGGCTCAGGTCATGATCCCAGGGTCCTGGGATTGAGCCCCACATTGGGCTCCCTGTTCAGTGGGGAGTCTGCTTCTCCCTCTCCCTCTGCCGCTCCCCCAGCCTGTGCTCTCTGTCAAATAAATAGATAAAATCTTTAAAAAAAAAAAAAGAAAGTGATTATATAACCAAGTAGCTTAATGCAATGTGGGGGGTTTTAAATGTATTTTAATTACTCTTTTTGTATGTCTTAATTTCAGATATCTTTTATATTCATTCGGAATTGTTGATCATATCAAAATTCAAAAGAAATTATAGAGGCATATGTTTAAGACCATTCATTCATAAACACATTATGTAATTTTTCTAGATTTTTGATGTTTGTGGTATAGCCAGCATCTTAAAATTTGTGATTTGTTATAATTTTTGTCTCATTCTAAGTAAATATTTGTTTTTATACCCAATTTTGTTTTCCTAATTTTGCATTTATTTCCTTAAAGAGTGTCCTCTTAAAGTGTGAAATGTACACCCCCCCGAGCTGGTGCTGCTGGCCAAGTACCAACTGCGATCAGTAAGGACTGCAAACATCATTTACCAGGGTGGGGACTTTTCAAGCTTTGAAAGGACAAGAATATTAAATGAGAAAAATAAACTTACTTTATGGAATGCCCTACATAGACTTTGTTAAGTGAATGCAACCTGATGTTAAATAAAACACTCTCTCTTCAATTTCTCCAGAGGGACTGATATTATAGCTCTCACTTACCAAATATATGAGACAGAGTGCCATAAGAGGAATCTTAAAAAGAAAAAAAAAATCTGATGTTTAGCTTCAAAATTTCAGGACATTTATCCAGGACTTCTTTTGCACTTCAAGAATATAAAAAGTTTTTGGAGAGTGGGAAAGAGGAGGAAAGATTCTGGTAGGAAGGATTTCTTGGGGGAAATTTGTGCTGAGAACTTGAAGTCCTATCCTCCGGTGAGGAAATAAGAGGGTCGGTGTGCCTGAACCTCCCCCCAGCCCCAGCCTTGGGGAACTTTCAGTGTGACTGCTTTGAGAGTCAAATATGTGTGGTGTGGAGTTTGAGGAATGACGAGCCGCCCCAGAAAATATGCAGGGTGGGAGAAAAGCTGGTACAGCTGGGTTGGGGCTGGTGGAGTCAAGGCAAGTAACTGCTTCATCTGGAAAATTACCTCATCTCCTCCTGTAACAGGACACAAAGATGCACAGGATGCAGGACCTGCCCTCCCAAGACTGTTTTAGGGTCTCCCTAGAAGACCATGTGCAGGAGGCAGTGGGGTTCCAAGAGTGTGTGAGTGGGCCCTCAGAGAAAGTGGGGAGCATCAACACATCTCCAGAGAACCCAGCAGGGGGACTCCCCCACAAGGGTGCTTAAGAGAATATCAACTTTAAACACAAGCCTAACTCAGCACAAAGCCAAGCAATGGCAGATACAATAGAAGTAAGACTGTTTCCTGCTCCCGTCTTTCCTTTCTCTCTCTGTGTTCCAGCCCTAGGGGTGAGCCCAATGAAGGAAGAGGAGCAAGAAAAGAGAAATAAAGGAAAAATGTGGGCCACCAAGCCACCAGTGGTGTGATCTGACAAATCGAGATTTGACGTTAAATAAAATTCAGAATTTTAATTATTTCCAGGGCTGGTTATTCTTATTTTTAAGATTTATTTTTTATTTATTTTATTTAAGAGTGAGAGAGAAAGAGAGAGAGCATGCATGTGCACATGGGAGGAGGGGCAGAGGAAGAGAGAGGGAGGATCTCAAGCCGACTCCACACTGAGTGGGGAGCCGATGCAGGGCTCGATCTCGCCACCTGAGCTGAAATCAAGAGTCTGGTGCTCAACCAACTGAGGTACACAGGCACCGCACCAGAGCTGGGCATTCTGATGGGTACCCTAGACTGTGTTTGTGACTTAAAATGACAACAGGACTGACTGTATATGGCCTATGAATGAATTGTATTTATCCAAGGCAGGGAAGGATTACCACAGAAAATAAACTTCATAGGATCAGTTATGAACAAAAGTAAAGCCATTTTACCACATTCCACAAATCAAATCTATTTTGCTACATTAACTTAAGAATAAAGGAAATAGAGAGCTATAAATAACCTAAAGCTATAGTTACGGCATTGACTGACCATCATTTTCTAATCCTTTCTTCAGAGAACTCTGTTGAAATCCATATACACAAGTGGCCAAATCTGTCTCTGTCTTGTTCTTAATCTGAATCACTCATTCAACAAATATTTTTTTAAAGATTGTATTTATTTATTTGACAGAGAGAGACACAGCGAGCGAGGGAACACAAGCAGGGGGAGTGGGAGAGGGAGAAGCAGGCTTCCCGCGGAGCAGGGAGCCCGATGCGGGGCTCGATCCCAGGACCCTGGGATCATGACCTGAGCCAAAGGCAGATGCTTAACCGACTGAGCCACCCAGGCGTCTTCATTCAACAAATATTTAATGAGACTTGACAAGTTCATCTTCCTAAATGCTACTTTCTGTCTTGCCACACTCCCCTACTCAAGAACCTTCTGTGACTCCCCACTGCTTACAGCCGTCATTGTCCAGGGGATGAACACTCCTCGGGTGGGGAGAGGGGATATCAGTAGGGTGGAGCTTAAATCACCTTCACCTCCCTCTCTTTTCATCCTGAGACATGCCTTTGGGGAAGTGGGGAGCACCTTTACCTCCCTTTCCAGCCCACTGGCCTCACTGCCCTAAAAGCCAGATGCATCAGAGGACTTATTTAATTTGCTTTCAGCAGAGCTCCTATCCTTTGTCCACTGAAATCACTTGGATAAAAAGGAAATAGAATTATATTTCATTTGTATTCAACTTACATTTTCTTTTATTTATTTATTTTTTTAATAAGCTGGGAATAGGATATTGTCTGTTGACCACAGCCCAGCGATAATCGTTTTAGCTCACATGGCCTCTCTAATGCCCTATCCTGGGGAAGAAAAGCTTATGGTGCTTTCATGACAGCCTTCTATCTCTAGGGGCTCTTTAGCCTCTGCCTCTTGCACCCGGCCTGACAGAAGGTTTGGAGGCTTTTGGGGTCAAAGCAGTTTGGTTGGGAGAGGGAGGATGGGGCGGCAGTTACAAAGGTCCAACCTGCACCCGGCTTGTAGAATATCTTAATATCACACATTTACACGAATTACTCTAAGACAGTAAGCCTCCGCACTCTCTCCTCTGTGGTCTCCAGTACACCTTGTTTGGGAAAGTATTAAAATGAATTTTTTGAATCAAGTATGACTATCCTGTTGTGGTTTGTTCTATGTCTCACTGGAAAGGCTAAAAATAGTGATGGAAAACATGTTCACATACAGGTGTTGAGAGAGAAGATTGACACTTGTATTCTGTTTTCTTTTTCTTTTACTTCATTCATTTTTATTGTATTTTTATATTCGATACCACAATTACTTACTGTGTGCTGGACATTCGCAATTAAACAAATCAACAAGAAAGATGGGGCACCTAGGTGGCTCAGTCGGTTAAGTGTCGACTCTTGACTGCGGCTCAGGGCATGATCTCAGGGTCCTGGGATCCAGCCCTTTGTTGGGCTCTGGGCTCAGCTCCCTCTCCCTCTGCAGCCCCCTCAACGTGTGCGCGCACGCACACTCTCTCTCTCTCTCTTTCTCAAATGAATAAAATTTTTTAAAAAATCAACAAGAAAGAGACCGGGGTGGGGGGGAGGGTCTTTGGGAGGAGGAAATGGGGGGGCGGTTTGGCCTGATCATAATCTCCAGCAGCCACCCCAAAACCACACAGTTGATTATCAGGATGATGATGATGATAAATGAAAAGTGTGAAATCTTATGAAAAGAGGACAAATGCCATCCTCATGGATCTAAGCCTGTATTCTCAAAACATAAGCAAATGAAAATGCAGCTTCAAGACAAGATGTAGCCCCCTCTTCCCATCAGATTTTTAAAGCTGCTGCAAGAGAAGCTTATGGTCTACTGGAGTCAGAAACGGATGTGTAGACAGTTAAATAAATTACTAGAGGGTTAATGCTATAATGGGGTATTATTGTGTTTTCCTAATAAACCCTTTCCAGGATGGGCCAAGAGTGCTCATTTTCTTCTCGTAAACAGCAATATGGCCTCAAGAGATAATCCTCTCCCAAACACCCGGGCAGCACCGATGTCTTGATCCTTCCAAGGAGTGTCCTTCTGAGGTTTGATCTTCCTTATGAGGCCATGAAGAAAGTTTTCCTTGCATCCCTGAACCCATGACTACGCCTTACTAAGTGCTTTCCTGGCAGGTCCTGCCCTGAGCCATCAAAGTCAGTCATGTATGGAAAAGTATCTGTATATCGCTCAAGACTGCTGGATTTTCTTCTAGCTAGGACAAAAAAAAAAAAAAAAAAGAAGAAGAAGAACTGGTTCGATAAATGTATGCTTTGCAGGGTCAGTTGACTTTTCTGTCAATATTACTCCAGGAGCATTTTCGGCATGCCAGTACTGTGCATTGGCCGTGCTATGATAAGATGGATATCGCTCACTCCCTGAGCTCCTCGCCAGATAAGTTACCCTGGCATGTTAGGTTTTCTCTTCCCTCCTTTAGCAGAAAGACCCATCCAGGCTTTCTCCTCTAGGAGCTGCCCCCCAAAGACTAGTCCACACACCTGCAGACAGTTGCCTGTCACAGAGATTTCAGCACTTACAAAATAACATACTTCCCCCATGATATTCTCTTTCACAGAACCCTATTTACCGCTTTCATGAGACTTATAATCTAAAGATATTTCATTAATCAATTTGTTCCTTTGTTCATTACCTCACCCTCTCATTAGTATGGAAATTCCATGGAAGCAAGGACTGCTTGGTCTCAGTCCCAGCTGGATCCTCAGTGCCTAATCAGCCCCTTGCACGTTGTAGGTGCTCAATATTTGTTGAATTAATAAATATGTGGAAGGAAGAAGGGAAGAAGGAAGGACGGAAGGAAGGGAGGGAAGAAGAAATAAGGAATAAGAAGGGAGGGAGAAAAGGGAGGAAGAAGGAAGGGAAGGAGATAGAAGGAAAAAAAAGAGAGTCAGAAAAGCTTATGCAAGGCTTAAAGATAGGGTCACCTAGTGTCTTGAAGACTTCACATATCCTTGAATCCGCTCCATTTATAAGGGGATTGTGGGTGTGGGGTGGCATCTTCCACGAGTCTGGAGACTCACAATCAACTCTCCCGGACATTCTCTCAGGGTAAACAGTGAAATACTTTGGGCCTTGCAGACCTTGAGCCACACAACTAAAAGAGGTTATTATTTCTTGATGTCGCCAAGTAGAGAGACAGGAGCACAAACTCCTGGGCTTTCGGCAGGCAATTGTGTCTGATGGTTTGGATGTGTCCTTGGAGACAGAACACAAGCAAGGTTTGCCTTGCTTGTTTTCCTTTAACCAAGGCAAAAATTCTATTTCTTGGGGTGCCTGGGTAGCTCAATCAGTTGAGCGACAGACTCTTGATTTCAGCTCGGGTCATGATCTAAGGGTCATGAGATCAACCCCTGCGTCGAGCTCTGAGCTCAGCATAGAGCCTGCTTGAGAGATTCTCTCCCTCTCACTCTGCTGCGCAACCCCCACACCCCCGCCCACTCATGCACACGCATGCTCGCGTGCTTGCTCTCAAATAAATAAATAAAATCTTTTTTAAAAAGAAAA